TCCCACAGCAGAACATCTGACATAAAAGCGGGGGGTACATCCAGAAAGATATGGATGAATTTTCTTGTTGAAACCTGCAAAAATATGCGCCAATCCATCACCCAAGTCAGCCGGAGACAAACACAGAAAACCACGATACTGGTCTACAACCTGATATAAGTGAGACGACAGCAGAAAGGAAGAAGAGAAAAGAAAAAGCGTCAGTCAGAAAACGAACAGTAAGTATCTGCACACGAAAATCCTACAACTGAGGACAATATTTCAGTGCTGGCATGAGATGGACATCGAGATTTTGTCTGAGTCACCACTTCCCATGGTCTACAAACTGAAACTGTCCCCAGAAAGCAGGAGACCTTACAAGCTCAGACCTAAAACTACAACTTTAAATGATCTCTGTGTTGGTATTACCGAAACAATAGATCGTACTGTAGAATGAAGAAACGCTTCCTGAGATGGTTTCTTATTCAAGCAGCCGTCCTCACAGAGAGAGCTCAACCTGTGACAAAAGACAGACTTCCATCCATCGATCTAGCTCCCAGCGAAAATCGTCCAGGTATTGTTTGGCAACTTTTTTTTCCCCTTTTTCTTTTGTAAATTGTCTAACCGAGCAGGGCCATAGAAAAACGGCTCAAGTTTCCATTTTAAAATTTGAAGTCCCTCGGCGTATTGTGTGGGTGTGTGCGCGTGTGTGTGAACGTGCCTGTATGTGTACCTATTACTCCCTCCCTGGTCGATGGTGAAACACACAGCACACTCACCTGCATGTATAGGCACCAGAAAGGTGGGGAAAATAGCGGGGGGGGGGGAGGGGCGCTCAGCATTGCAAAGGCCCCCCCCCCACCCCAGAGCACAACTCTCTTTGTAAGTATTTACTTATACGTTTTATATTATTTAAGAAATATTATTACATTTCATCATCTCATCATCAGTTCTCGTTATGCCTAATGACACATGAGGTTTCAGAGAGGACTTTCCATGCTTTTCTGTCCTGTACAATCTTCAGTGCAGTTTTCCATGTCAAAGATGCCGCACTCAGGTCACTTTCCATCATTCGTCTCCATGTTGTTTTTGGGTGCCCCTTTTTTCTCTTTCCCTCTCGTGTCCATGTGAGAGCTGTTTTGGCAGGTATATCAGGATTCATTCTCATAACGTGGCCAAGCCATTTCCATCTTCCCTTGGTTATCATACTGTCTAAAGTTTCTTGGTTTGTGACTTGAAGTAGTTTAGTGTTTGAGATTGTATCTGGCCAGAAAGTTTTGATAATTCTACGTAGACATGTGTGGTGGAAGGTGGACAGCTTGTGTGCATCCTTTTTGGTCATTCTCCAGCATTCCGCTCCATAAAGAAGAACTGGCAAAATGATGCTCTTGTAGAGTCGGAGTTTCGTTCCTCTGCAGTAACTGTTGGATTTCCAGATTTTTTATGGTCACTGGTTGTTGGTTTGGACTGCTTGTCATGATCTTAGTTTTCTTTGTATTTATTCTCAGTCCCACCATTTTAGCTGTGCTGTGTAGTTTCTTTTTTCTTGTAAATGTTCATATTTATGTGATATTGTTACATTTATTTGCTATTAATTACATTATATAGTTAGTTGCGTATCCTTTACAGGACGTTGCCGAACTAACAACAGCATTTTTTGACTTTTGTTGTCTTTTTGTTGTCTTTTTCTAGGCATATTGTACATTCAGTAGTTTGTCATTGCTTTCTAAACGTTCAGCTTTCAGTACCACTGTCGATACCAACGCAGGACGTTCTGATAACCAAATCGCCCGCAGCTGGGATTGAACACGGCACCCCAGCATTACGACGTCACATTATATATATATATATATATATATATATATATATATATATATATATATATATATATATATATATATATATATATATATATATATATATCAACCAGTATGAGTTCCAAGGCCTCATGTATGGGGTAAATTGAAAATACTGACTGCCCCTGACAGGCATGTAATTACTTTCGTTTGCTTCAAAGTCAGTGTGCATCTGCCTGAAAGGCGAGGAACCAATATTCTGCATACAAATAATCCAGATCTGTAAACCGAATGTGCACGCACAACTCCCTTTCTGGAACAACTTCAAAGTCCAGAAGTAGAAGTGTAACCAATACCTTCTGCCAGAATTTACAAGTGAATGCTAACACGTGTGCATTTGTGTGTATGTCTGTGTGCGTCTGTGTCCAAATTTTCATTACTTTGAATGTCTGAAAAACGGCCGAGTCCAGAATTGACAACACAGCACTCGGGGCATTCAAATGCAAGCTCCGTCCTCACTTTCAGCAGCCAGCGCAGAGTTCCAATACTGATGGTACCGGTCACAATCTGGTTATATGTCCGCCTTTCCTTCCCTCTGGGTGTAGTGAGCCGGCCAGACCCTCTGGTTACACCCAGGTGCCCCATTCTCTCCAGGGAATGGATAGTGAAACGCCCTATACAAATGATTTCCAAGCTGGGCGCTCTCACTTTTTCTCTTTTCTTCTTTGCGTTCACTACCTGTACACTTCGGTGGAAAGTTTTGGGTATTCATCCACCTCCGGACTTACGTCTTTGTTGCAGAACCTGAGTGTTGTGTGCACATCTGTTTCACAGATCCGGCTTATGTTTATGCAGACTCCTGGTTCACTGCCCCCCAAGCAGATGTATTCCTACTTCGAGGGTGCCCCCAATTAGTCGACACCATGCTTACTGGGGAGGCAGTGGGTCTGTTCTTGTTTTCCCCCACACTGGGGCTCCAGAATCGACACAGAAAGTTCTCCAATACAATTTTGCTACTTGGCTATAAGAGAGAAAGGGGTTTCCGGGGTTTCTACCTGTGTGATTCTCATCCCTGAGGTGTTAATTCTACAGCATGAAATCCTAAATATTGTCAAACAGAAGGCTACCAGTGCGCCCGAGCTGTACCTATAAAACGACTCAGCTGAATCCAAATGTAACTGTAGATCTTCCTTATACTAACCCGTAACCTTATCGGTTGTTTGCATGGTTTTCCCTCGTGTACTTGCGACCTACCGGGTGCAGTCCCGGGAAGTAAAGGCGGCTGGTGTGATGCTGACCACATCACCCACCTTGCGCCAATTGGTCTATAAAAATATAGTTCTAGCCCTATATGCCCTATACGCCTAAATGCGTGGAAATGTGTCCTTTACTTCTATTTGCAAGCTGGTCGACTTCGTGTGTGTCTACCCTTATAAACTCCTTAAAACTGGCAGATTTGTTTAAAATTTCTTTCTGTCAGAAACAGGTAAACTTGTCGATTATTTATGTTTCCTCACTTTGGCCTTACAGACAATCGTCTGTTTGAATATCGTTCTTGATAAACAGGTAAAATGGTCATTTATTAGTGTGCATTCTCACTTGGGTCATTTAAGGACGAAGGTTTGCTTAAATGTCTTGCTAAACAAACAGGTAACTTGGTCAATTATTTGTGTGTCCTCTCATTTGGGCCTTTTAAGGACATTCGTTTTAAATATCTTTCTGGATAAGCTGGTAAGATGGCCGATTTGAATCTGTATTTCTCAACTCCAGTCATATTTGGACCTCATGTTACTTCGTAGCCTTCGTGCGGAGTTCAGTCCTAGAGAGGATAAACAACAACAATTTGTGTGTTTCCTCACTTGGACCCTTTGAAAACGGTCTGTTGTTCGAATATCTTCTTCGCATGATCAGTTTTGCGTGTGTGTCCCTGAAATGGACCAGTGAACATTCAGATGGTTTGAGGCCCCCCTTCCCCCTACACCCTCCCGTTCCCAAACGCCTCTGTACCCCCGGTAATTATGGTTGGGTCCCCCGACCCCCAAAATTTTTTGCGTCTGCAGCTGCTGATTGTTCTTAATGCTGCTGTGCCCAGGATAGAATAGATATGCAGATGTGCTCTCAGTTCTACCCAGAAACTGCGTACGATAACTCAGTACATAACTGTTGACAGGAAAAGCATTACAGTCTCAGACACACACTAGGCTACAGATTACTGTGTAACATGTGATGCTCCAATATCTTTTTCTCCTGTCTTCTTTGCGTTCACTACCTGTACACTCTGGTGGAAAGTTCTGGGTGTTCATCCACCTCTGGACCTAAGTCTTGATGCAGAACCTGAGTGTTGTGTGTACATCTGTTTTACAGATCTGGCTGATGTTTATGCAGACTCCTGGTTCCTTGTACTGATACTGCTAACGATAACACAATACATAACCATAACACAATACATAACCCATAACGCAATACATGACCCATAACGCAATACATAACCCATAACGCAATACATAACCGTAGACAGGAAAAGCTCATGTCCGAGTCTTTCTCTTGCCTGGACTTTACACTAATAAGAAAAAGGATCATGCAGAATATTTCATAGAATGATTTTAAAATGCTTATGAGCAAAAAACATTTCATAAATGAAAGACAGACTTATAAATAGAAAACAACAAATAGTAAAGAAACAAGTACATACACAATACAATAATTAAAAACACAGTCGCCTCTAAATAGAACACACAGCTTGTTAGTGCAGTCGATAAGAGGCTCGCTTTCAAATCCAGCTGCGACTTGCTGCAGCCCACTGTCGGTGTTCGTAACCGGGAATTCCCAAGGTTCATCCAGCCTCTAGGAAATGGGTACCAGAGTTGACACTCTGGGGTAAATGGAGGAACGTCGCTGTAGCCACAGAGTAACGTGCGGACGGCGACACAGGCGGACAATTCTTATCAGCTGTCCGTACTGGTGGCAGAGCACTTATGGTTTATAACTGTGTGCAATGACGCTTGTTCACATCTCCCGACTTTACCTTTACACGGCTTAGGAAAAGAAAAATATTGGTAGGCAGAAATAATTATTACCTGAAAACAAAACACAAAATCCCCTCTCAGGTCCTCTTCATCTCTCTAAAATAAAAATAAAAATACCCCGTACAGAAAACAGCGCTTTTAAACAGAAAACAACACAAGTAAACAGAACAGCCGTAAGCAAAAATAAAAATCCACTTACCGGCAGTGGTTCGAGACCAAGGCGCATCCGTTTGGCATTCTGACTTTCATTCTCACAAGCAGTGGCCAACAGGCTTTCTGCAGCTGCAGAGGTCAAGTGGGGAGGTGTTGGCCTTAGCTGAAACAATGGGATTTTGTTATGTATTCTAGTGTGTCCTTCTATCATTCTGCTTCTTTCTGTGAGTGCAGATCAATACATTGTCTGTTTCTTAATTATATATATATATATATATAGGGCACAATATACTTTGTAGATATAGGCTTAAACATTTCGGTGCAGGAAACACCAAGACGTGGCCTGTAGCCTGGCACATGAACAAAACTGAGCATTATAAAGACTACCGGCCTCCTGATTTAAGTTTTACTGACAGAAGGATGGAAGAAAAAAAAAAAAAAGAAGAGTATGTCATGCCGATAACAGTGGGTGACCTTTTTCTTTTTCTTTTTTTGCCTGAAAAAAAGTTGTCTATATTAACAGTTTTGTCTGAGGTAACAATTGCATTTCTGTAGTACATCTCTCACAGGTCCGTAGAGTTTATTTTCCATTGTTGGTTTTTTTGTGCAAATAAATTTACCCTAATGTGTCATATTACGTGCAGTTTTTGACGTGCAGTTTTTGACTATGTGTCTGGGGCAATGTGTGCACATGGCTGATATACCTGCGCACATGGCTGAAACATCTCTGCACATGGCTGATATACCTGCGCACATGGCTGAAACATCTCTGCACATGGCTGATATACCTGCGCACATGGCTGAAACATCTCTGCACATGGCTGATATACCTGCGCACATGGCTGAAACATCTCTGCACATGGCTGATATACCTGCGCACATGGCTGTGACAGTAATCGTTTATGTCCGGTTCTGAGGCCCAGGATAATGGCCTGTTCTGATCTGTTTATAATAAAGTAGTCGCCTTGCTCTGGGTCTGGTGGTTTTCTGACATATTCAACGATCCTTTCCTGGGAGATGCCAACTGGCAATAATACATGCATTAGTTCAAGGGCAAATCTTCGATTCCTTTTTACACTTTTTTTTTCAGCCATACCGACCCTTACCTCATTAAAAATTACAGCAAAATATAATTGTCTAATCTCTTCATAACATCTCAATTTCTTATGTGCCTACCTAATTAACACCTAAAGTAACACTAAGATTCAATTAATATCTTTATTGCCCTCTATAAAATCGTACACTTACATCCTCTATGTTCAGGCTCCAAAACACAGAGATGCCAAAACACTGACCCTGCTAAGTTATTTTCAAACCAACGGAGCGGACCTTTCAAGCGAGTTTTCCATTGTAATAACGGTCAACGACGACATACTGCCTTTTAATGCAGTACGATTAGCTGACCACAGTCCAGAGGACGTGGCAGAATTTCTGGGCGAATAAGTACATTTTGTGTGTAATGGAAATTTTAAATGCATCAAATTGAAACAATGCGAGAAAAGATAGCAGAAAGATATTGGCCTCTGCTTGAAGTCTGCAGATTAGAGATCCCGCCTTAAAGGCATGAATATAATGTACAAAAACAAGAAGAAAAATATCGACCCGGAAATTTAGTTTACAAGCAGAATGTACACGCCGGTGCAGAGATAGTGCTTGGTAAGATCTTTGATATGTATTAACTTGAGATAGTCCCTGGTACGATCTTTGATATGTATTAACTTGAGATAGTCCCTGGTATGATCTTTGATATGTATTAACTTGAGATGGTCCCTGGTACGATCTTTGATATGTATTAACTTGAGATAGTCCCTGGTTCGATCTTTGATATGTATTAACTCTTTGAGTCCCATGGGGTTTAGCATCACAGGCCCAAGGGGTAGTAAAGAAAGTAATAAAATCGGCACATCTTGCGTTCATTGGGCTTCTAGGTAGGAACCTATGAACGTATGATGCGTTCCTTGGGACTCAAAGAGTTAACTTGAGATAGTCCCTGGTACGATCTTTGATATGTATTAACTTGAGATAGTCCCTGGTACGATCTTTGATATGTATTAACTTGAGATAGACCCTGTTACCATCTTTGATATGTATTAACTTGAGATAGTCCCTGGTTCGATCTTTGATATGTATTAACTTGAGATGGTCCCTGGTACGATCTTTGATATGTATTAACTCGAGATAGTCCCTGGTCAGATCGTTGATATACATATTAACTTGAGATAGTCCCTGGTACAATATTTTATATATATTGACTTGAGATAGTCCCTGGTACAATATTTTATATATATTGACTTGAGATAGTCCCTGGTACAATATTTGATGTACATATTAACTCGAGATAGTGCTTGGTAAGATCTTTGATATTTATTAACTTGAGATAGTGCCTGGTACAATATTTGATATACATATTAACTCGAGATAGTGCCTGTTACGATCTTTGATATATATTAACTTGAGATAGTGCCTGGTACGATCTTTGATATACATATTAACTTGAAATAGTCCTTGGCACGATCTTTGATATATATTGACTTGAAATAGTGCCTAGTACAATATTTGATATACATATTAACTTGAGATAGTCCCTGGTACAATATTTGATGTACATTTTAACTAGAGATAGTGCCTGGTAAGATCTTTGATTTACATATCAACTTGAGATAGTCCCTGGTACAATATTTGATATACATATTAACTCCAGATAGTGCCTGGTAAGATCGTTGATATACATATTAACTTGAGATAGTCCCTGGTACAATATTTGATATACATATTAACTCCAGTTAGTGCCTGGTAAGATCTTTGATATACATATTAACTTGAGATAGTCATTGGTACAATATTTGATATACATATTACCTCGAGGTAGTCCCTGGTACGATCTTTGATATATAACAACTTTAGGAATATATCCTGCCCTTCTTGTTGCGTGTATGTGTGTTTGTACATGTGTGAGTGTTAGTGGCGTCGACACAAAGAAAACACTGGACCCAGCCCCTGTCACGTGTGAGGTGCCTTGGCTTTCAAGTTTCATAATTCCTGGTCTGTGTAGTTGCGTGTGTAATACGAGAAGCAAACACGTATAATTTGGTAAATACTAAAAGAGCATTTGAAAACAGTATGCATCAATGTTCAACCATAAATATAAGACAAGAGTTGAACATATTTCCTTATTGTGAATCTTCTTGTTAACATTGAAGTATAACCTACCATAGCTGAGAGAGAGAGAGAGAGAGAGAGAGAGAGAGAGAGAGAGAGAGAGAGAGAGAGAGAGAGAGAGAGAGAGAGATACCACTGAAATATAACCTACCGTAGTTAAGAGAGAGAGAGAGAGAGAGAGAGAGAGAGAGAGAAAGAGAGGAGAGAGAAGAGAGAGTCAGAGAGAGAGAGCGAGAGAGAAAAAGAGAGGAGAGAGAGATAGAAAGAGAGAGTCAGAGAGAGGCAAAAGACAAAGAGAGAAAAATAAGGATTGAAAACTCAGAGAGAGAGAGAGAGAGAAAGAGAGAGAGGGGGAGAGAAAGAGAGAGAGAGAAAATAGAGAGAAAAGAGATAGAGAGACATGCAGACAGAGACATGCAGAGAGAGATAAGAGAGAGAGGCATACAGACAGAGAGAACCGACATACACAGAAAGAAAGACACAGAAAGAGAGAGAGAAGAGAGAGAAGAGAGAGAGAGAGAAGAGAGAGACAGACACAGAAAGATACAGATAGGCACAGACACAGACTCAGAGACCGAGAGAGGGAGACCGAAAGAGAAAGAAAGAGAGAGAGAGAGAGAGAAAGAGAGAGAGAGAGAGAGAGAGAGAGAGAGAGAGAGAGAGAGAGAGAGAGAGAGAGAGAGAGAGAGAGAGAGAGAAAACAATCACATCTGCGGGTAAACTTACAGGCTCCCAGCCGTTGTGTTCCTTTGATCTCCGCATGCGTCTACACGATTTCAGGTAGGTTCGTATCCGTTTTCTGGACCGCTCGTGGAATTCTGGGAACTGTCTGTCACAAGCCTCTAAAATGGCTTGAATCTTGTCCTTGGGCTGTTTTGAGATTGGCACCATTCGGTCCAGATTTTCATCCACAAACAAACGAACAAACATCTGGAATGCAGAAACAAATCACATAAAGTGAAAATAGTGACTTACAAAAATTTGAGTTTTATATCATCATCATCCTATAGCAGGTCCTTTGCAGAACGTCACTCTCATTGCGGTCTGCCTGGAAGAAACTCGGCCTCTCTCCTGTTTGTTGGTCTCCTTTCCCCTTTTTCTGGTACCACACATTCTGCAACTATTTTAGTCCAATCCACCCCGATGCTTAATGTGGCCAAAATATATCAGTTTCCGAGATTCGATACTGTTTACTAGCCAATCTTTTATATCAGTTTCCGAGATTCGATACTGTTTACTAGCCAATCTTTTATATCAGTTTCCGAGATTCGATACTGTTTACTAGCCAATCTTTTATATCAGTTTCCGAGATTCGATACTGTTTACTAGTCAATCTTTATTGATGTAAAGATCTTTCAGTATTTCTTTTGTTCGTGATATTTTGAAGATCTTGTTACAGCATTTCAGCCTAAATGCTCTAATTTTCTTCATTTAGGACTGTGAGATAACCCACAAAGCACACTCGCATGTTGCTACATTGAAGATGCACGCTCTCAAAGTTTTGACTTTGATTTCCTTGCTGGTGATTAACTATAGATTTTTAATGCTTTTTAATCTTCGCATTGCTATGGCCATCCACCTTCTGACTTTGGTGGGTCTCCGTCGCTGTTTATGATTTCGCCTAGCTATTCAATATAGTGACATTTTTAATTACAACTCATCTACAAACTAAAAGGGTTTGGTATTAATTTAATGGAGAATTGTCCATAGACGTATCCTAGCAGACTGACGGAACACCAATCCAAGGTTGGAATTGCAATGGCAAGATGTTTGCCTGTTGGCAGAACAGTGTTGGGTTCCAATCTGTTTCTAAGCAAATTTACGTTGCTGATTTTCACCAGGTAGGTATGAAGTAAAATAGACGGAAGCTCCAAAAACAACTGTTAATGACTGTTCTATCTGATTAATTAAACGTCTTGTGTCTTTATTAGCATTCTTGTGTCTAGCAGCTCCCAGTTGCACCTTTCTGTCCACCAGCCTGGAATGGGATATGGAGTCATGCCGTTTGCTGAATTCATCAGTGTAACATGCCTCACACATGGCACTGATCGGATGGTTTTTCTCCAGTGATGAACTGGTTGAATGATCTTCTTCTTCTCTTCCACCTTGTACCTCAGCGAAGTGTCGGGGGAGGGGAGGGGGGGGGGAGTGTAATATTCGTTGATGAACTCTTTCAAGATCACTATTAGGACTGATGTTTATTTCTTTAAGGCTGTCCTTAATGTCATCACTCCATATTTTCCGAGGTCTTCCACTCGCTTTATATCCGTTGTAACGTTTTTGTGTGGCAGATAGTTCCAGGGTACTCTTGTTAAGTGTCTAAACCACTTTATTTGTTGTTCTTTGATGACTTGTAAGACTGGCTTTATTAATAACATTTTTCTGATTTCGTTTTGTCTTTCCTTGAAACCCCATGCAGCTCTTCTAAGGCATTTTGCAATGACAATAAAAAAGGATGAAAAAAAAAAAAGAGAATAATGTTTTGAACATGTGTTTGACAATCCATTCTTAAATTGACTATCATACTTGTTAGTGCGGATCCAAAGGTCGTGGGTTCAAATCTGAACGGAGCTGGACTTAAACTCCCTCCCCCTCCTTCCTCCTCAAACATTATCTTGGCTCCTGGGTCGATAAATGTGTAGACTATGGGTCTAGCACTATATGCTTATTACGCTTGAAGGCATCAAAAAGCTCATCTACTTTACGGCTACTATCATGTGATAATGCTTTTTCATCAGCATTCCCAACCCTTGAGGTTCACTGCTGCAGATATCACACAACTCCATTTATCCTTCTTTGCAGTTGGTGACTGCAAGGGTTTGTAAGTCTGCTGTGTGCGACCTCCCCACCGTCTTCTAGGACTGTCGTTTGGTCTACTCCCACTCAAATCTGTTGTAAACCATGATTTTACTGTAAATAAAAAAAATAAAAAAATAAAAAAAAAAATAAATAAAAATAAAAAAACCACCTTTCAATAATTTATTGATTTCAGCTTGAATTCTTATAAAAAGACATTATCTTCCCATTGAG